TTATTAAAAGTCATTGTCTTAGGCCGGCCTACCGCCCAATTCGAGCGCGTGGCGAGATGTGCGCGTAGCAATATCGATCGCCGGGCGGTCACATCTTGCCACGCACTCGAATTGGGCGGTAGGCCGGCCTAAGACAACGATTTTTAATAATTAATTACTCGTTAACTATTACGAAAATTGCAAAATGGTACAGGACTTTTCCGTTCATCTCGATCCGTTCTACCTTCTCAAAAATTTTGTCGGATATGGAAAGACTCACCCTGTATAATAATTTTTTGGTCTTTGTTTCCTCGCGTAACGTCGCCAAAGTGGCCGGTGAAATATCCGTCGCGTATTGATTTACTGTGCAATGGTTTTTCCCCCGTCTCGAGTGGTAAAAAAATAGTTGAGGAAGTGATTCCCGGTTAACAGACACGGCAGGCGGGTCCACTTTTATTACGCGAAAGCATTGGATTAAGAATAACGGTGGGAAAAAGAGTCGCTCTCATTTCATTTGCTTCCCCGCTGGGGAATTGATAAAATATTCCCCATCTCGAATAATGGATTATCTGAATGACTGATATCTTTAGACATCGAAAATCGATAGTGCTAACTAATGGCGTTTTCATAATTGAAACTGTACTCCGACTGTTACGTGACCGACGCGGACTCGAATTTCAAAGTAATATCATAGAAAGCACTTAGCCCGCTCGGACTTGCCTTCCCGGCAATATGGGTCATGAATATTCACTCGGATAGTCATTGTTATTGTACTTGATTCCACTTACAATTGGCCCGTTGCTCATGTCCCGCGTACGCAACGCGCGCATGTCCGACAATTGTATATCGCGCGTGCCTTTTGTCGCCGACTACAATGGGACGTTACAAGCAACGCGGACAAAATGTCCGCGTTGCCTATAAAGTCCGAGGAGTGTAACGCGCAGCCACGTTAACGAAGCTAAAGTAATATCGATGCGCCTTAATTAGCCGCATCTCTCGAGCGCTCAAACGCATACACACGCCAATTATGCCTGTAATGATCCCATAGAAAGCTAATGTGGCGCAAACGAAGTTAATTTCAGGCATGCATCTGCCAGATATCGGTTGACTTTGACGTAAATATCCTTCGTCCTGTGAAAGAGAGTTTTTTGAAATGTCACGTATGTACGTGTCGCGTTTGCCGAAAAATTAAATTAATTAGCACAAATTTGAAGTTGACGTTGCTGTGCCAGTTTATTAGGTTTATTTAGTGTATTTCGAAAAAACGCCGCACTTCTACATGCTGTGTAGAGCAAAAGCGAAAGTGGAGAGCCAGAGGAAGAAAGAACTAAAGAGTTACGGAGCTTATAGAACGAAAATCTCCTTATAAAATGCAAAGCTGTAACACAGAACTTTAATATAGAGGAATATATATTCTAATAAAGTTAAACGCACCCATTTTTTCCTGCTTTTTGACCGAAGAATCTGAAAGGACTCGCCGTTTGGCCAAACTGAAGTCGTGAGAATGAATATTTATTGCACTAAAGATGTCTCAATTGACAGTCGAAACCACGACTAATTATTATCAATTGTTTTTGACTCACGTAACAATAACCGCGTTATACGCTTATTGGTTGTTTGTTAATTTTTATTTTTGTAATATGTGTATGTAAAGTAATTAAACTACGCGGAGAGAATTTTCTCTTCAAATTTATTCGGAAAATCATGTAATCGTGGCCCAACGCGGTATTTCGGAGAATTTTAGGAGAATTTTTTTAAATTTTACCACGCATTTTACTAGTAAAATTTTACTGGCAAAATTTCCAAAACTCTCATAAGGTTCTTCCAAATGTCACGTTGCCCCACGATTGCATGATTTTCAGGGCTTAAGGGAAAATTCTCTCCTTGTAATAGTATATTAATAGTGGTAGCGGTAGTAGTAGAGGCGTAGCGGACCAGGCTAGTCCCTATTGTCACCTAAAAGTTCCCCTGTGACTCGTGTTGAAGAGGCGCCTACTCTTTCCTCCCATGCTAGCGGAGAGATCGCAGAGATGTTCAAGACAAGATGTTCTCAGCGGCCTCAAATTGCCCAAATCCCGCTGAGAGATGGCGACCGAAAGGGGGGGAGGGACTGTCGAAACAAAAACCGACAATTTTCTAGAGAATTTGAATTTTGAACCCGCGGAGTTTAGCTCATTAGAACAGTGCATATCTCGCTGCGTCACTACCCATGTATTATAACAGTTACGTAACATCAACATTATTACCCATTCAACAATGCAACTGTTGTGTACAGCATGTGCGTTATATTACATTACACATCATACTCTGTAAGCACCAACTGTTAATTGGTGTCTATAACTGGATGCGAAATACAATACGTTAGCTCAAAGGTTTTGAAGATCCCTCTTAATCGTTGATTTTCTCCAAGGTATTAAATAAACCGATAGAACATAATCAGTGATTCCTGATTGCACGCTTGTACTGCGAGTCCGCGAGTCGGTACTGCAAATATTCGATCTATGCGAATTATCGTACGTAATCCGGTCGCCCGGAGAAGCCCGTCGTCATTATCGTATTTTAATGCACCGCGAGTATAATTAACGGGTTCTATTCTACCTCGTCACCTCAGATTTTAATTAATTAATGTATCGGTGTATAGTGCGTTATAAGCCGCGTCGAGAATCGACGTAAGCCACGGACGAAAATTAACTGATGAACTCTGCGCCGCGCCGCGGTAACGGGATAACAGGCGCGCTGCTTTAATTTTAATATACTTGGATATCAGAATCCATCTTCTAATTCATTCCGTGTGAAACATCAATTTGCTGCGAGCTGTTTCATGCTATTCCGAACGCAAGGGAAAAGAGCCTTTAAAACAAAAACAACGCGCTAGAGAGGGAAGGAAGGATAAATCTTTTTTTTTTAAACAAAATGCGCCATTTAGAGTAATTAAATGTACAGCCGTCTTATTATAGCAAAACTTGCCATTTTGCCGCTTGGCAAACTCGTATATCATAACGCACGAAGGAGGCGGCAACTGCACTCTCGCGTAATCACAGTTTTTCAGTTCAGTTAATTTGTTTATAATGCGGCGCATTAATTCTTTCTTTCTTACGAATTCTCTCTTTCGCCCTTTCGACGGAGTAAAACTTGAAATAAAATATTGCGCTGTCGAAACAACGTATTATAGGCGTGACCGAACTGGATGCACTCGTATCCTGTCTCGCAGTTAAAAGGATGATGGGAGATATCTAATGATTCATTCTTTAAAGCGCTCGCGGCACAACGCGACGACGGAAAGACATTCGGAAGCGCGCCCGCCGCCGAACGCGCCTCTTGAATAGAGAAAAAGGGGAATTTTCTTTGAAAATGTAAAGCGAGATCTCCTGTGAGAAGACCCTCTCACCCCTGCTCGTCTGCCTCGTGGAATGTCGAGCACAAGCGGGCGAAAACTTTGCCTCGACGCGGAGAATCCTACGCCGCTGAGGCGCAGCGTGCGGCGCGTTCTGTCCCCTCAAATAGTAAACGCGAACCTTCGCGCCGGGCACATTTTTTTCGCAACTAATCTCTCGCGTTAAAAAAAAAGAGAGAGAGAGAGAGAGAGAGAGAGAGAGAGAGAGAGAGAGAGAAGCAAGTATAATATACGCGAGAGTTTCGTCATTCGTGTGCGTTAATATCCGGCCGTGCGAAATAATCCGTCGGTTCCGCGGAATTTGCATGATCAGCGGGCACGCATTTGAAAACTGCCGGGCAGAACGACACGAGATACCGGGCTGTTTGCGTTCGCGCGTGCAATTCTGATTTACAATCGCCATGCGGCTAAATGAAATCGTGATAAGGGCTTGCATAGTTAATGCCTTTTCGTAAAAGCTATCGTGCGAATAAAATCCCTCCCCCCCCCCCCCCCCCGGATAAAGCGGGGAGGCAACACCGCCGTGGAGAATAGAGGCGGAGCTTCTAGGCTTTTTGCATTATGCGGATATTTACGCGGCGGTTTAATGAAATCCGCGAGAGGAGGGCGGATTTCCGGATTTGTACGGCGCACATAAATAACGAGAGCCGGCATGTATAAATTGAATCCGGCCGGAGCCGAAGGCACGCGTCGGGAGATTCCCCGGTTTGCCTCTCGACGCTTTGAAATCCCGTCGATTTGCCTGAGCACGGTTCAATTTTTCATACGCGCAAATCGAACGGCGCGAAGGGACGCGCGCGTTTTGTTGCTCGCCGCCCCGTCGTCGTCGTCGTCGTCGTCGTCGTCGTGCATCGGAGATAACTAAATTTTTTATCGTTCCTCTGTTGCAGCACTGTTTCGCGATATCATACAGGAGGGAGAACCAACGGCAATACGAGCTAAAAGCGGCCACGGAGACGGACTGCAAAGCGTGGATCGATGCGATACGAGAAGCTAGGTAAACGACGGGCTCGCGCCCGAATCGAAGATCTCGGGACCGATTAAAACGACGCGTCGCGTCGCGTCACCTTGACGCACGGAGATTTTTCGCCTCCCGTGTTCCCTGCATTTTTTCCAGCGCAATCTCACTCCCTTGGAGTGAGATTTCGCTCGAAGGAATTAATGAAAATACCGCCGGCTCGAATGGAGCGAAAGAACACTTTTTGATTGATTCCTCAGCTCCGAAAAGGGCGCTATTCTTTACTAATCGATTATTGACTCTTTCGCGACAGCAGAATAAGCGAAACCGTCACATGAGTTGTAAATTTTCAGGCTGCGAATGTTAGAATGCGGCCTCTACCTGCGACGATCTGGATCACAGTGAACAAACAATGGCGAAGCTCTCGTCTATGAATTTTACACTACTGTAACGACCATCGACTAGTAAAACATAGCGCTCTTTTCAAAGTTGAAGAATCAGTCCAGGTAAAGAATGAAAAAAAAGGGAAATTTTACTCCATTCGGATTGGCAGTATTTTCATTATTTCTTTAAGTGAAATCTCATCCCGAAGAATTTAGAGAGTGGGGTGCCTTATATGCCAGGTTGCCGTGATCTTACGAGTTTATCTAGCGGCGGAGTACAGTACTTTAATTAGTTTGGAGTGCTAACGACTTCGCTTTAAAAGTAAGAGCGGAATTGTTCACTTTTTGTCTTAAGCCCGTGCCAGACTACGGATTGAGATTGCGATTAGATTGAAATATCACCAATTAGAGTAAACGTCGGCTGAACCTGAGATTATACAGAGTAAACTTTACTCCGATTGGTCAAATTTCAATCTAATCTCAATCTCAATCCGTGGTCTGATGCGTGCCTTAGATTATTTATAGCGAATGAATCGAGTAAATATTCACTCCACGAGAGTCAACTGGTCGGTAACGCCATAATTCGAGTGGAAGTTACACTCCAAAAATTTTAGAAAGTAAATCCCGATAATCAGGCGTAGCAGGCTGCGTGTCGATGTTTCTAAGCTCTAAATTAAACTTCGGTTATTTAGTTATCTCGCTGATATATTAATTTCATCCGCGGAAATCGACAAAGAGCCTCCACCATTGTCGACGTCCGCCGGAGCTATCGAACGTATTGAATCGATTTCGACATCCCCGAGCTTCCCCGTTCCCCTTCTTGAGAAAATTAAATGTGACATTGTCAATAAACTCTTCCGCGACTTCGTTGAACGTTTTTTAGATTCCGACCAATTACGCGCGTAGGACGGGGATATTTTCGATACTCGCCACCGATATTCGAGCCGGCACAGCTGCGGGTGAAAATATAAAATTCATCCCCGATGATAACACGCGCGATATAAAAGCATCGCTCGTTTGGATTACAAAGAATTTGTATAATTTTTCGATGTATCGCTCCGCTGCGGGGGAAACGAACTTGTCCATTAATACGGTCTCATTGGGCCACGGACGAGCTCACTTTCTTTATATTCCGCGTGTTTAAACGAGTCTTCCACTTTTAATAAACGGCAGCGAAATAATCTCGAGTCTCGCCGATCGGAGGCTTCACGCGCATTCACTTTGCGGAACGAATGGAGAAACGCCCGAGCTAACGGAATAATCCCGCAACGTGGACAACGTGGCTCGCGGCGCGATAATTAACTTCGTTCTCCAACGTCGTTCTATTTTATCCACACTTTGCTGCGGGAACTCTTGGTCTATTATTCAAGAGACTACCTTAATCTCGTTGATGCGCTGATAAATACGTTTACGGGCACCGCATTAACATCGAGCCGTCTCAGCTACCACCTCTCTATTAATCCCGGTGCCGTAATTTGTGCACATTAACGCCGAAGTAATCTTCATCATGCTATCAAACGCGTCTTACGGGCCAGAGGGAGAACTGGCCGTAACAGCTGGTTATTGCGGAAACCCCGGGGTGAACAGGGTTACGCGAGGATACGATGCCAATATTGCAAATGCACCCGCAGAAAAGATTTCCGCGTGCAATGCTATTACGCTTGGATCTATTTTAAAATAGGATCGATGTAGCGACACCGTCTATTTCCGAGAAAGGTATATTCTTAAATGTAAAATAAAATGCTGGTGCGCTATAACGCGTCGAAAGAAGATTTGTTCTAAATTGGACGAATATGTAAGCTTAGACTCGTATTTTTTATAATATAGTCAGTCAAGCTTTTCGAGAGAAGAGCAGGGGATATTGATTTAATCTTAATAGTGTTTCAGTTTGTTACTGCATGAGGTTGTAATGAGTTTAAGTATGTTTAACATTTCTTTTTGTCTTGTTATCGGAAATTCTTTTTGAATGGGTGCGGCTCACTTGGTGCACTCAGTTCGAAACGATTCCCACAGCAACACAAACGATTATATAAAAGGCTATATACCATGTATCTTACTCTTTGTTCACGAGACAAAGGGTTCCATGCAAAATTTTCTTCGCTAACAATTTCGCAACCAGTTCAACTCCGCTTATGGATGCGCCTGGTTGTAAACAGGTCGCCGACAACTTTTCTGTCGCAGGTGCCTCTCCTAAAGAACGTGATCGTTTCACTGATGCTCGCAGATGCGTCAAACGTCGTTCTAAATGTTTCGCGTCGTGCCACACACGTGACGCTATTACGCGAGAAAAAAATAGCAGTCACAGATCCGTGCTTTTGCCTGGCGTTTCTAAAAATTGCTAGAAATGAATAAAACGTCAGATTTGTACGTCGCCTCTGCATCTTTTTTCAAATATCTCTCATTGGCCCAGTTACTAAGAGATTATTTAATTAAACGGGAACTGTTTTTAATTCGCTCAAATATTGCTTTGTGTTAAACTTTAAAGGAACGATTACAGATGACTGTGAATTTACTCTTGAGACGCGCGTTTAATCCAAGACTCAATGAGAATTGAAATTATATTTGCTTCCGTTGACATTTATTAGAAGAGACACGACGGATAATATATTTATCCGGCGGCGCATATATAACTCAAAAATGTTTCGTCCCCTTTAAATATTTCACCGTGCGAGAGGCTACATCCCCTTTCGCGTAGTCGTTTCACCGGCCGACTTATGTACGCTCGCATCCCTGCGGAACGGCTGCCTTCTCAGATTACTGATACCCTGCACCGTAATATGCATAGATAATGATATCCGTGTTACTTTAGCAATTCTGCCGTGCCGTGCTCGAAAATACAGGGCTGATACTTCTTCGAGTATCTCGTGTCACGCATAGAATTCGATCGATACGGCGATAAGTTTTTCATGCAACGTGGACCACACGCCGCGAGTGCAGTTGTTTTGCGTAGGGCAGAGCCTGTGGAAACACCGCGGGCTGTGGACGAAATCGCGCCATGTACTTACACGGCTTATGGATATGCATGTAAAGCAAACCAATTAAAATTTAAGTCAGGAATGAAATCTTTTACGAGAGAGAGAGAGAGAGAGAGAGAGAGAGAGAGAGAGAGAGAGAGAGAGAATTAACGAACAAGTAAGTCATCGTTATTATAATAAAATAACTTTGGGGTAAATATGATATCGCCAGCAATTCGAAACAATGATGAGTATTTTTCATAAACGACCTAAACTCAGTTCAATCTGTTACCTCGTCCAACACACATCTCATGAACACTTTTACCTGTGTTTCAACAGTTAACAATGCAACTTCAATTAACTTTGCACTCTCCAACTAAAGAGTGCAATCAAAATTTCTCCCTCTTATTCTTTTGACTAATACTCTACTAACATAGAGATATCGGCCAAACGAACGATACGAGATCAGGGATAATTAAGTAACAGATCACTTGAAAAGGGTCCAAATCCAGGACCGAAACGTCGTTTTTATAATAAATAAAGGCATTGGCCAGTGTAGGTCGTTTATGAAAAATACTCATCATTATAATAAAATAGTCCTCTCCCGCGACTTCAACCAAAATTTCTTAAAATTGTAATAGAGCAGTCAAAATCGTATTTAGAGGCCGCCTAAAAAAAATTCTACGGGAAAAGATTACGGGGAAAAATGTTCATTTCTCGTTAGAGAATGTTACAGTAATTTATATAATAATTTCGCGGCGATATTTAGCGTGAAAAAGATATGCACGTGGCGTATCGTCTTTCGTGACATGTTCCTCTCCGGGGAAAGATACTTTTACGCCTTGCTTCGTATTTCATATCATTCGCATTACTTTACGGACCCGGCTAAGTTCGGGAGCTCTCACCCTCTTTTTCGCGTAGATTATGCCGATAAGATGTAAATGTCAAATGTCGTTAGTCGTGCGGAGCAACGAGAGAGATCCTAAGAAAACTCACCGATCATTAGGAAGTTCAGTGGTCTCATTTCTAATCGAAGTGGTCTCTTCTGGGATGAGTTTAAATAGATTAGAACGTTAACAATTATTTTTTATCTATATAAAATAATTATTTTATACAATTAAAAAAGAATTTACAAGGATTTACGTAATTTCTTCTTTGAAAGAAAAACAGTTATGATTCAATCCAGGATGAAAATTGTATAACCTTGTGTAGAAATGGACACTCGCTGCTACGTGCGAATTTTGCATGTTTCGCTGGTTTTCAGGTGATTAAAAATTATTCTGAAAGTTTGCAAAACATCCCTCGCTTGCCTCGCTTGACTGCAGACGGACAAACCGTAATTTCATTTTCGCGCAAATTTCTCGGAACGCACATACGCTCCGTGCGTTTTTCCGGGCCGCATATAGGAGCGTTTTATTTTCCTTTGTATCACGGTTCTCCGCTTAAACAACACTTTTAAGTGCGACACGTGAGAAACGGGCGCACGAGCCAAGTGTAACTCGGCATCCTTTTCCTTGGGTATTGATTCTAGCTTCAACAAATTGTCACTACAAAAGGAGGAGCTCGAGCAGAAGCACCTGCACCTGTTGCAAATCGTCGAGAGCGAGAAAACGGCCAAGTGGCAGTACACTCAGCAGTGCGAGGAATTGGCGTCGGAAATAAAAAAACTCCGAGCGGAGGTTAGTCATATCAGCCGTGTTATATATTTACCTCATATTTTTCACGGCAATTTCGTTCCGTGCCGCGTGTACTTTTATTTCAACCACCGCGATTACAGTTTTGTTACGCGGCGAGTAAAATCACTTTTGAAAAATTCCTGTATAGCGCCACCGAGAATTCTGCACACTTTATTTTTATTTTACAAATATCAATTCTTCCAAAATTACAATAGCGCATTTGAATAAAATTTTCCCGGCACTCTCTAGAAAAAATGTATGCGTGTAAGCGAAAGATTTTATTTTTCTATTATGCAGGGTATTAATGAACAAACTTCTAGGGCATGCAGGGGGTTCAAAGTAGACCAACTTTTAATAAGGAACTCATGTCCGGAAACGTACCGGAGTCCGGAAACGACTGCAGTCTGCAGCTCGTAAACTGTGCGTTTCCGGACATGAGTTCCTTAGTTAAAAGTTGGTCTGCTTTGAACCCCCTACGTGCCCTAGAAGTTTGTTACAGATATTCATTAACACACTGTATAAAGCTAAAATGCTTTTCAATCGGTAGAAATGACAAATATACCTGTTGACGATAAATATGGAACTTCCAGAGTACCTTCAGAATTAAAATTGAACTTTAACTCGCCGACCAGCCCTCAAGCCCCTCGTTAATTTTATTTTGAATTGTGATAATTAAATTGATAACATATCGAAGCTAATGAAATGATTACGTTAGAAGGATCAATTACATTTTATTCGAGTGCTCGTTCAATATTTAATTCAATCTCGTTTGAGCGGTTTACTTGAAAAATACGGGAAGATGTTTGATCGGGATTATTTCTTCTGCGAGATTACGGACTTCGCGGTTCTCTGGTTACAGCTATGCGCCCTGAAAAAGGAGCTGAGACCTTCCGTGGTGCCGATATACGCCGGCCGACCGGCGGTTCAAAGAACCATGTCCCAGGGTACCGGAAGTTTGTACAGCACATTCCACCCGTACGGTATCGGTTCCGCCGGTTGCTTCGCTCCCGGATTGCGTGACATCGCGGAGGGCTCCATTGAGATGCAAAAAGTTAAGAAGGTCCAGAGCTTCTTCAGGGGCTGGCTGTGCCGGCGGCGTTGGAAGCAGATTGTTGAGCAGTACATCAAGAGCCCGCATGCCGAGAGCATGCGCAAGCGGAACAGGTAATTGTTGCTGCCTCGTCGCATAACCGACGTGACGTCTAACTCATTCGCGCACTTCGCTTTTCCATTAACGATTGGTCTCACTCACGCGAGGTTCACGCGTGCGTTTCGCGCGATCGTACCGGCGATAATGACATCTGAGCGCGGTGCAATTGAACACAGCATGTGAAAGAGGCGGAAAGAAAGTGTTGAGTGGCGCAGCTCTTTTATGGAATAAAATTAGACGCTCTGTCTGCTGTACGTAATAAAGTCGCGTAATAACTTTAATAATATAATATTTTTATTCCGCGGCGGAATAAAAATAAATTTATTATCATTGTTCTGCCGCCATTGAGGGGAGGTTTTTTCTTTAATCAACTACGTTTTCTCGTATTTCATTCATTTACGATGTATAACAATGATATGTAAACTCAACGATTATTGGCTTCGTTTAATTCGCGCTATCGATGCTACTGAACGCGCGTCCTGCTGTTCCAGCCTGGTATTCCAAATGGTGGAGGTCGAGGAGGAGTACACGGAGCAGATGGAGATTTTAGTAAGCTGTTTTCTGAGGCCTTTCAAGATGGCTGCCAGTTCAAAGAAACCCCCATGTTGTCACGAGGACGTGAATAGCATATTTTTGAATAGCGAGACCGTGCTGTTTCTCCATCAAATCTTCCTGAAGGGTCTCACTTCGCGTATGGAGAGCTGGCCCACTTTAGTTTTAGGTACGAGCCGCTTAAAATTACTTAGTTAAAATTAATTATTAATTTGTTAGGTTTCTAAAGGTTAAATTAATCTTGGTTAAATTAATCATCAATTTAATTACACGGGGAGAATTTTCTCTTAAAATTTACAGAGAGACAACATGGTATTTCGAAGGATTTTATGAGAATTTTTTGAAATTTTACCATACATTTTACACCCAGAAAAAAGATTTAGTTAGGTTAAACAAATGAGATACGTTGAAATCTTATTTCCTTGGGTCTACTAAATTTTTATTTACTTCCACTAAAACATTTATTAGATTTGAAGAAATAGACATGAATCCTCTTAGAAACTCCACAAGATTTTGGTTACGGTAAAGAAATCATTTCTTTGAAATTAAAGATAAGTCTAGTGAGGTCAAAATTCAAACAAATTTGTTCGATTTCAAACAATCTTTTTTTACGGTGTACTAGTAACTATTATAGTAACTACTGTAGTAACTACTACAGTATATTACAGTAACTATTGTAGTAAAATGTATGGTAAAAGTTCAAAAACTCACATAAAGTTTTTCAAACTGCCGTGTTGTTCCACGTAAGTTTCAGAGGGTAAGTTTTGAGAGAAAATTCTCTCCGTGTAGATTTGCTATTTCGACTTCGGGCTGCGTAAGGCTGAAAGTTATCTGCGCGCAGTTTGCCGCGTTGATAAAAGGCATGTACGCAAAAATGTTATTAGACAATAACAGCCAGACTGCAGCGTTGTCATTACTTGAATTGTTCGCATAAAGACGGTCAAGTTCACTTATTTATTGAAGCGATACCGATCGATGCCGACGACGAGTCCGTAACATCGAAAGAAAACACAAGAAGTTTCGCGATTCCAAGTGTCGTACAATTTCTCTTTCCCCCGTAACGATATTGATTCGCGCGAATACATATTTTATAAGACAATAACGCGAATGGATTGTATACCGATCACGGCGTGTCGTCAATGCAGGTGATTTGTTCGACATGCTGCTACCGATGTTATCCATATATCAAGAGTACGTGCGAAACCACCACTATAGCCTTCAAGTGTTGACTGAGTGCAAGCAATCGCCACCGTTCGTGGCGTTGCTCAATAGGTTGGAGAACAAGACTGCCTGCCACGGACGATCCCTCGAGACCTTTCTAACATATCCTATGCATCAGGTAAGATTGCCGCGCGCGGAGCCGACGCGATTCTCGCGCGTGAAACGCGTAAAATCGACCCGAGTCTTTCCGAATATTCCGTACGGTTATCTCTTTGTATTATTATCGTTGCGAGAGGAGAAATATCGCCGGCGAATGCCCCGGCGCGATATTAATTTCCCCGTGCCGTTCCTCTCGCGAGAAGGAAGATAGAAAAATGGTAGGATTATCTCGGCGATACGAATACCTCTTTGGGAAATGATCGATTGTATGAAATAGTTTGGAGGCTTCCATGAATATTGCATGAGATCTAACGATCTTGTAAAATGAGTGGTGCCGACGCGCAGAATGTACATTCCATCGCGTCCTCTCGCAGAACGCGGGATATTCTTTCTGAATTTATTGGACATAATTTATATTCCGCTTTAAATACAGCGAGGTCTCTTCACTCCGTGCTGCGATCCGCTTAGACTGCTAATTAATTTCTAATTTATCTTTCCGCCCCCACCGATACCTCCGGAAAAATTAAACGCTCGAATCTGTTTGACGAGTTTTGCATCACGATCGCCCTCCTAATTTCTTCTTCTCTCTTTTCTCTGATTTTAGTGGAACTTGAGCAGAAGTTCCTTAATCCAGCTACTTACTTTATTCGTTTAGATTCCAAGATATATAATTACTTTGCACGAGTTATTGGCGCATACGCCGTATGATCACGTGGAACGTAAGAGCCTCCAGAATGCCAGGCAAGCGCTGGAGGACCTCTCGAGGCAAATGCACGACGAGGTATTTGTTCGATTAACCCTAGGTAAACGTTATTTTTAATTTGCCTCTAAATACTAATATGTCTCTACCACTTTTCAGGTCAGCGAGACGGAAAATCTGAGAAAGAATCTAGCAGTGGAGCGAATGATTGTCGAAGGATGCGATATTTTACTGGACGTTAATCAGGTCTTCGTTAGACAGGGTGAGTACAACGACACTCTCCCCCCCTCCTCTTTAAAATCTTTTACTTATTTTCAATATTCTTTGAACTATTTTTTTGAGAGAGACTTATTTCAAGTATAAAAATATTGAAATATCGCAGTGCAATTGTGCAGTGAAAATAATTTCGTGGTCTAACGATGGCACGTATTGTTTTCTGTTTTAATTATCTTTAAATGAAATCTAACAAACTACGCGCAGCCCAATGCAAAAACTACTTTCGCCCACACACCAGCGCGCGCGCACACACAAAGATTATTTTTGCATATAGAAAGAAAATCGAAGATCCAAGCCACGTAATGTACTTTACCGAAGTCGATAAGACCGAGACTGCCAGATAACTTGTGTATCTTTTACAATTTATCCCTGGCTGGGAAACTCATTCCTAGACTTGATCACTGTCGGTAAAGCTCGACGGGTTTCCCCGTCGCTGGAGAAAGCGGACGCGGGGGTTCAAAGGGCGCAAACGCACAGTTACACGTTCAGAATCGATGACGCAACTTGGTCGCGTCGATATATTTTCACACTCGGTCTCATCTCGATCCTGCGCAATGTGTCCTGCCAGGGCCGACGTACTGTTCTACTACTGGCGGATCTTCCGCAGACGAAAAATTCTTACGCCCCTACGTGGCTCTATAACATCAGGACATAATGGCATGCAAGCAGAATGTTACACGCGGTTGCTGAAATTGTAATTTCGTCGGTCGTTTCAAATTCGACGCGTGTAAAGTAGCTCTTCTAGCCGCGATTTTAAATATCAAAGAACGTTCAAGATTTAATGTAGACGCAATTCAACTTTTAAATAGTCTCTCTCTCTCACACGAAGAATATTAAATAATAATCTGAATATTAAGAAATAAGAAGCTTAAAATTAAATTTATATCTGCAAGAGGTTGCATCCACGTTAAAAAATTAATATTATCATTTACAAAATGGAGAATATGAAATGAAAAGTATGACCGAAACATCGCGCGTGTTGCAAAAAAGAAAATACTGCACACTTTCGCCAATTGCAGAGGATGAAGAGAGCGTTTCGGGGGCAAGTAGTAAGAGTCTCGGTATGCCGCATTTATAAACACGATCCTGGCAACCCTCGTGCTTGACGCCACATCACATGGTTATCACGTAAACGTCTCTCGGTCGCTAACGGCGGACCACCGGACCGTCCCGCGAACGTCATCCCTCGTTCGCCAGCGTCGAAAGATCAGCCGACGCTCCGTTCGAGGGCGACGAGGGCCGGAATTTTTTCGGGAGCCCTCTCGGTGCGGGGAATTATTACTCGGCGACGTTACGAGCCTCGAAGGTCGATGAACGAACGAACGGAAATACGCCAGTCCGCAGTATTTTGCCATTTTGCCAGTCCATCGAACCGGCGTGTAGCGCGCAATAAAGACCACGAGGGTTTCGCGAGTTTATTAATGTAGTGTCGATAGCAAGAAAAGTGGGACCAAGCGACGTAGGGTATAGGCGCGATGCTGGTAGCAGGGACCAAGGATAACCGGGAATCTAAGAGCTGTAGCTTTTTGTCTGGATATACGTAGACAAGGTACACGCTACTCCTTCAGTGAAGTCGCAAGAAAGTTGGGGGCTCGATAAAATGAACGATAAATCCTGCGCGAGAAACAGTAGATATGTCCGATTGATGTCGGACAATGAAATTGCTTTCTCGCTGATCCCTAAGTTTCGATTGCACTCGACTTTTATCCGTGGAAACGCAATTTCTCTTTCTAAGAAAGAAGGAAAGAAACGCGAAGGATACTTAATTCAAGTTGATTCGGGCTGGCCGTTAAGGAAACTGTCACACTTCATTCCAACTTGTTTTCTTAAACCCTTCTTGTATTGAAATCCACCCGCTCTCGTCTGGCTTCCCCCGAGCTTTCTCGCTCGCAGAGAGATCAATCCGATGAACGGTGCCGGCATAATCCCGGCGAGTTCAGATTTCGATTTGCAGTTTCGAAAAGGTATGTTAAAGAACAAACGGACGGAATTATTGACAATATTCACTACTCGAAAATTGAACTCCGCGAAACGGCTCTGATACCCGTATGACGTCAGCGGCGCAGACACGATATTGCGTATTTCACATTCAGCGTGGCAACACGTCGTGCTATTTTTAAATGCGCAGCTTCCCTTAATTGCATCGATTATTTTAAGAAAGCTCGTTGGTTTCGGCACCAACGTGCCAACGAACGAGTACTTGCCATACGTCCTTTCCTCCAACTGGGATCTCGTTCTCGGACGATGTCAATAATAATCGTAACGGCAACAATAAAATTGCGTAAGTCTGATTTAATGTCGCACCTACTTTCAGGTACGCTCATACAACTTGTGGACAAACCGCGCGGCGCGCGAAGCAGATTGAGCGCAACGTTCGGTGGCAAAGCGAGCGACAGGGAAACTGTCAGACAGTGCTTCCTCTTCTCGAATCATCTGTTGCTCACGATTCGTCAGTCCGACGACGACGGCCGATTAAATCTGGTTCCGCAAATTGGCAAGATACCCCTTTCCGACGCGGTGCTGATTGAGGATCCGAGCGATCAGGGTGTCGTAGATGACGATGGTAATTGGGTTTACTCGTTGACAATAGCTTGGTCTTTTAGCTTCTTTCGAGATCTCTTTGAAATTCGGCGATTAAAGAAGTTTTCGATTAATTAAGAGTCCGCAGTAAGTTACCGGTGAATCGGGAATACGAAAAGGATCAGAAGACTGCAAAATGATCTCATATGCGACGCAAATCTTTTTTTTTTGGCTTCGTCTGATGTAGCTGTATGCATTTTAATGTGTGCTTTTTATTTGAAGATCGCGCGTGAGTTGTGTCAAAGAGATTTATTCGATGCTACAAAGTAGCGAATGTAAACTAATTTTAGGACTGTCAGTATGTTCGATGTCAAGTGGCATTAGCGAGAGCAGCGGAAGCGGCAGCGGCAGCGGGGCGTCCCAACTGCAGAATCGAGATTTCAAGATTGTACTCGATATAAAATCCGGTGGGCCACAGGTGACCGTCCATCTCGTGGCGCCTACCATGCAAGTAAGTGCTCGTTGAATTGCAAAATATTTAAAACAGATAATCTTGTAACGTGGGACAGATATTCGTGGCCGTTTCTTAGCGAATAAGAATTGTTTAAATAACAACGGCTCGTATGATAAAAAGAATCGAGCAATAGAAGGGGCTCAGAGCCAAGACAGGGTTGTGAAAAAATGTTTAATTAAATTAGACAATATACAGGGTGTTTCGGATAAGGTGTCCGTCCGCTCGTACAGTGGTAGAGGGGGTTAAACTGAAAGAAAAAGTTATGTACCATTTTGTAAAATTCCCAATAGTTATTGAGTAATTGTTTAAAACGTCTGAGCGAATAAGCGCAAGGAAAACGGCGGACCATCTTCAGTATATAAGAAAGATGTAAAATTAACGCAGAAAGAAATAGCGGTATACAAATAATGCAAGAAATTACGCAGTCAGTGAGATAAAATATACAATATAAAGAATTTTTTATTTATAAATAAGAAACGAGAGGATGAATACTGCCCGTTTGAATGCACACTTTACAAATTTGAGGCGTACATTTTGAAGCTGTACTTTCCTATTTGATTATAAATAAAAACAATAAAATTACAAAGTTAGATCGTTTTCGCTGCCTATTGTCAAACACGCGTTGTGATGCGGCAAAATTTTTCAGGAGAAAGCGGCTTGGGTCAGCGACATCAGTCAATGTATGGACAATGTTCAATTTAACGACCTGCTCCACGGATCGCTGTCGGACACTAGCTCTGTCACGATGCCGCAGTCCATCCGGAACGACCCGAAGCTGTTTAAGGACGACGTAGACATCAGGTTCAGTCGTACTTTGAACTCCTGCAAAATACCGCAGATTCGCTCCGCGACGCCCGAGCGGCTGCTGCAGCGACTGACCGACCTCAGGTTCCTTAGTATCGATTTCCTCAACACGTTTCTGCTGACGTACCGTGTGTTCACCGACGGCGTCACGGTGCTGGAGGCCCTCAAGAAAGTTTTTTACGAAGCCGAGCCGCCGGACTCGCAAGTACCCACCGGATCCCTCGTGTAAATATGAGAAGTTGTAACAATTATTAGCTTAAAATTAATTTAGCTTCAAGAATTCAGTAGGAATGATTATATAATTATTGGGCTATAAAGAAGCTCGACAGTAGTGTACGTAATAAGACAGACTTTTGTCAATATTATCACATTAGTATTGCTGCTCTGTAGACATTTATTTTTACAAGTTACTGTAGTTAATCTTGACACGCCTGAATATTTTCTACATTTATATTCCAGATCCTTAGATGTATTAGGAGTAAATGCCAGCGAACTATATTCCGAGGACCGAAGGAAAAGTAGCTTTTCACCGAGACGAACTAGCGGTGCGAGCTCAGTATCAGGTACCGTGCATTAAAGCATCTTTTCGATCAGCATCTAACAGTATATTATTATCAAGGTGCAGTTGCGGTTTTTAATTATTAATAGCGCGTTGCTTCGCACGTAGGATATGGATCAGAAGTGAGCGACACTCGCGACGCGAAATCCCACGGGTCCTATGACGTTAATGCCAGCGGATACAATTCGAAATGGCGATCTGGTTACAAAAAGCGTGAGTATCTCCAGTACGAATCGAGGTTTACAACAGAGGAAAATCCCCCAGTATAAGATAGGCTTTTAATAAAAAATAGGATTATTTTTCCACCTTGCTTACGTGATGCTCGACGTTTCTCTTCCTCCTCGGTACACCTTACGCACTCACACCCTCGTAGTTAACACCATGGAGATGAGACTGAGATTGTGAGAGAAGGGAATACGTTGACGATCGCCTTGCGAAATTCTAAGTTTTCAACTTATAATTTTCATGGCCTATATTGTGGTTTTTTTATTACACTGAGGATGATCCGAATGGGATCGAGACATATGTAAATTTAGAATATTAAACGTCTTTGACATCGAATAAGATCGCGCTTGAATCTCCACGCACGGCTCGCATTGGCTTCATCTACCTCTTATTGTTTTATATAAAATAGCGAGTTTTCAACATTTTTTCTGCAACAATTACACGCATAATCTATCAATGAATTTCCCACTAAACAGATTTCATTCCAGTGTCCTCCTCTATATGATTTATAATTAAATTTAGAACTGAGGAGAAGAATTAAATGCTCAAGTCAATTGTGCCAAAATACTTGAAATAATGTAAAAACGCGATTTAAAATTTCTCGTGTTTAGTGGAGGAGGAACAACCGCTCGGGCTCATCTCCGAGGCCCCAGTCATAAAACGCAGTCCAACGTCCAGTCCGTCGTTACAATCTCCGGCCATGCCGCGGAAAATTAGTATTCGCGTGGATAACCAGGACATCGAGAACGACGGGTGTCATCTAACAATACCGAAAGTAATAGCCGTGTCGTCCAGTTCGGAAACACTTACAGGTACATTAATAGCAAGCTCGTAAAGTTACAGAATTTGAGAATTGTATGTGAAACTTTTTCTGTATTAAAACACTGGCCGGTTAATGTCGACTAAAAAGCTTGATTATTGTTATTTATTACTGGCAACTTGAAGAGATTTCTATCTTTACAAAATTTATGTTGAGTCTTTATTAAAGAATGCGGCCAATTTAGACTTAAAATGTGGAGACGTCTCGTTCCATATCTCTGGACTCCATATTTCAAGTCCAACACAGATTACGAATGCGTAAGAACTATGATGGTAATGGGATTTTCACTTCCCATATCTCTGGAACGAGATGTCCGTCTATTTTCGCACTTGCATACTTGTAATCTGCGCGACACAAACTCTATTTGAAACTAAAGTAAATTATTAATTTTTACCCGGCTGCCTGTGAACCCCTGGTTGCACGCTTTCAATTTAATGTTTTAAATTATATTCAGAGACAAAAAGGGAAGATATTTTTCGATATTTTTTTATACTGTGTTAACTTTTAAAGAAATATTAGAATGAGAAGTAATAGGTAAATTTGTTTGAAATTATACTACATGCATGTATGTACATACATTTCATCTCTTATTCTTATTTGATAAAGTTGTAACAGACTGCTGATGTGTGAAAAAAATTTGGGATGTAAGACGTTACAGCAATCAGCGCACCATCCTCGCCAAGCAACTTGAGCTCTGTGACGCTAGTCGGTTCGACGGAATCTGGATCCGGATCCGGATCTGGATCGGATCCAAGCCCTCAAGAGGGAGGTACTTACTCACGTCGTGTCTCGGAATTTGAAACACCTGTCACAACAGAAGAGTATACAAAAGGTAATGATTAGATATTAACCAATTACAATCCGATTATATGATTTCTTTCTTTAATTATCCTTAGAACATACACGTGAAAAAATCTTTGCCAACAACGCACGCAGGTCTCGCGGAATCAGGATGTTACCGTTTTTTGTTTCTTTTCAATGTAGATTAAAAGTTTTTAGATTATAACCGTTCTAACTTATTGTACATACATGAAACACAAATGTTTTCCGATTACGTTTTCCAATTAAATTGTGGATACATTTGATGAAATTTGATCGAAAAACGGATCATATTTATTATCGGATATATCCGTTTGTTGTTATGCAATTGGATTATCCGATTATATTTAATCAGACGTATTTTTCTCAGTGTTGTATCTGTAATTTCACATCAGAGCTTTATGAATTGATTAGTTATATGTATATATATATATATACGGCTTAAAGGAATATACATAATTAATACATTTAAAATTAATTATAGGAATACAGTTTACTTATGACGACATACCATCATTATCGCAATCGGTCGAGTCTGGCAAGTCGGACACGCCGAAAACGCCGGACACGCCGAAAACGCCGAAAACGCCAAAGACACCGGACACCCAGAGAACGCCGAGAACGCCGAAAACACCGAAAACGCCGGACACACCGAGAACGCCGAAGACACCGAAAACGCCGGACACACCGAGAACACCGGACACGCCAAGAACGCCGGAGACGCCGAGAACACCGAAAACGCCGAAAACACCTGTCTCTCCGTTAGTAAAGGAGGCCAAGGAGAGCAAAGAAGAACAGGCTTTGTCGCTATCGTCGAACGACGACGATAGTGTAAATTCTGTTAAACTAATCAGCCAATCGACGCAGCAGAGTCAACAGTATTCGGAGCATAGGGCATCGATTGCTTCCGCGCCAGCATCCACCGGACCAAGGAGCGGCTCATTCTCCGCCATATCTGTACGTATGAGCAACGATATGTGAGAATTTGTTTAAGAGCTTGTGTCAAAGTAATTGGAAAGGGGGTGGTTTTCTTTAGTCATAAAATTTGTTTCAAGTTCCAAGATGATAAATTTACTTAATCGAAATCGCTTGCGTGCGGTTCAATCGGATACTTTCTAATTTCATGATGGATTTGCAGAATTATCGGGTAAGCAGGCGGTCGACGCATGACGATATCTCGCAGCAGAGCAGCTATCAGCCTGACATTCAGGTTTCCAGTAAGGCCGGTGTGGTAATAACCAGCTCTCGGCAGAGTCATCGAAGGTTCGTTTTGATGGCCTTATTACGTGTTACCTGCATTTTAACGTGTCTCTGAAACTTTCGAAGGCATTCGTATCGATAAAAATTATCTCTATTTCGTTTTTTGCTGAATGTTGAGTGCCGTCAATGGCCTTCTAACGCATGAGAGCTTCTTCTCGATATCATGTTTCATTTATCAGAGCTGTAATTAAAATCATTCTTGGAGGGAGAAATTATTGACAAAAGACTGTTAAAGAGAAAATATTATATTTTAGAGATCGTTCAGTATCTGAGGCGTCTAGTCCGTAAGCTAAGTAGATAATTTAGAATTAACACACAACTTTCCCCGCTCTTTGCATATATTTTGCAAAACCCGATATAATAAAAAAATTTCTGATTATACTCATGTGCCTATTAATATACGAAGGAATTGTAAATATGTATTGTAAAAATTTGTATGCCTGTACCATGAAAATCGTTTTATAAGTAATTTGGAACTCATTTCAACGCGATACATACTTTTTGACTAACTTGTAAATACCTGAATACCCTTAGTCTTTTTATAATCGATAAATAAAATGCAATGTTAATTTTGCCCAATCTCGTCCGGATGAAGAATGTAGTTGCTATACGCGCTATCACCAGCTGTTTAAATACCCGCCAAAACCAAAAAAGTGCAGGCGATGCGGGCGCTGCGCCGGTGCTCTAAAAGATATTCTTGCTTTTACGGAGCAACACAGCTCCCAGAGTGCAGGGAGTGTAGGTAGAGCGGGAAATCCCCCCAGTCTCATGGCGGACCCTATTCCCCTCCAGGAGAGTACACCGACGCGATTGTCTCTCCAGAGACCGAGATAGATGAGCAGACGATTCTCCAAAACCGGGGCGTTATAGGATTTTCTTTCCTTGCCATAGGGCGCCTGTCGCTAATCGCTCTAATATCCTTAAGTTTCGTTGTATTCGTTTACTTCTGTTCCACTAATTTTTAGCGAATTTTATAACTGTTTTCATAGTAATCATCCCCTTCAGACAGAGGCGATCGTATTAAATGTTGACACGATAATTAATCTGCCAGTGAAATTTCTTCCCAGATACCCAAATCGCCATCTAAACATCTACATTCTCTATCCGGGCGAGATTGGGCGTAATTGACACATCAAACGAACTCATCGAGTGAAGTTCGATTTGAATTACGCCCGATATCTGGTCCGGATGGACTCCCCTCCCACGGATGGAAACCATCTCCCGCCGTAAAAGAGGGGCAGGCGATTTGCGGAGATTCTAAAGGAATGAAGTTGGCAGCTCGCGTGGCGGCCTGCTGGGCGTGCAGCGCCTGCGCCGCCTGCACTTTTTGGTTTTGGCGGATATTTGAACAGTTGGGGTGTACAAAGGCACGACTACATTCTCCATCCGGAGATATCGGGCATAATTCAAGACGAACTTCACTCAGTGAGTTCGTTTGATTTATCAATTATAATGCCAAGTTACCCGACTTAAAAACTCTTGCTCCATTCTTATCCGACAAGTAATGTCTTTATCACCGTCTTCAAAATCGAACTAAAGTGAGCCCTTAGATCAGCAAGATACTCGCGCTGCTGTTTCAACTCAACCGTGTTTCATGTATTGTTTTGTGTCATTCATAGCATTGGACCTGAATCTATCTGGTAAGTGGACTCATTTTGAAAAGCGTCATTATCCACCTATTGCGTGTGGCATGGCTGCGATTCTCCTGCTTGCGGCATCGTTATAAACAACGCCTGAAATGTCCGTCCTGTGCTCTCTGCTTTTTTTTATTACACATTTATGGCTTGATCGAAACTTAGCTATCGATTCCGAAAATTAATCGTAACGTAATCCTAAATGCGTCTTCTTTCCCTTGTTATTAAACCTATTAACCGCGCCGCATACTCGCTTACACACGATTCAACTTGCCCAGTCTACTTCGTCATTTAGAGAATGCACCATAGTAAACGAGAGAATGGACCAAACGAAATAGAAATAGTTTTTACCCGATAGTCGCCTTGTGTCACTTGCGTGCTTATAGCGCTGGACGTTCCAAAGAACGATTGAAATCGGCAATAATTCTGGTAAATTCCAATCTCGATGCCACTGACATTTATTTCTACCGAGAAAAATTTCCATCGGATAAACCAATTAAGTAGCGTTTCCGATTAACTTTTCCGAATCGGGCATTGTCTTCGGTATAATTTAAAATTTCGGTATAATTAAAAAAAAAACGTTAAATACATTCTCATATTTACAGCATCGAGATTTGAACTCGCCGAAACTACGCCGGTTACAATCCTTATTCCAAGTATTATACTTTGTAGCGACACCATGATGAAAACAACAAGTAAACAATGTCTACACCGCTGACGTATCGATATCTTAAAATTTCTTTTGCAAAATCGCGATGCACATTAAATACTACTCGCTTAGATCATGTCACGATGCTTATTACATGATACAATACAGCCAAGTATTACCGAAGAATACGAAAACTAGACAATCACCGGATCTTTCCTCGTGCCGTTCCTTCAGCACAGTAGCATGCTTCAACAAAGTACAATGCGAATAGCCTGGTCGCCAGGTTGAGTCAATAGAAATTCGCCTAGTGCCACGTAGAGCGTAGAGCAAACGCGTAAATCAGTCGAGACGAAGAAAGATCGCGATTACGACGACTGAGACTCCGATTTTAACTTTTACTGAAATGAATCCGATCGCCAATTATCGTCGGCGACTAAAATCAGTCCTGAATTCAGGAGCAGCACGTCCACGGCGGCGACCGCGTTTGCTATCGCGACCTCCGCCTCCAGCAATCCACCGGACAAAGGGCCGCTGTCCGTGAACGACAGCCGTTACAACCGGGATAGGAACAGGCGGAAGGAGTCGGTGATGTCGACCGCCGCGACGATGAGGGTGCTGAACGTCCTGAGGCACTGGGTATCCAAGCACGCCCAGGACTTCGAGTTGGATCAGAAATTGAAGAGCATGACCATTGAGTTTTTGGAGGATATCAATTACAGTCCCAACCTGCTGCCGGCTGAGCACAAGGCGGCCACTCAACTTCTGCGATTAATTACCAAAGAAGAGGCCGAGACCAACAAGGTCGATCTGAAGAAATTGCTAACTCCGCCAATAGTAAGTAACGATAATAATAATTTAATTAAATTTACTCGTTCAATGCTGATCGATAACAGAGATAAAGTATCGCGCGCAGCCACATTGCTTCACCTCATACTTACTTCACTGACGAGAATGGACTTTTGGTACTCTCTGGAGGTTTTGGAGTGACAATAGAACCATGGAATAAAATATTCGCTCTATTGAAGTAAACATTCACTTTAATAGAGTAAATATTTGTTCCAACAGAGCGAATATTTATTCTATTAGAGTAAATATTTTATCCATAGTAATAAATAGGGGTGTATCTTCGGGGAGTTAGGCCCTAACAGACGTGTCATTTCTTAATTTTCGGTGAGACAAATAATGGGCTAAGACCAGACCAGGATTCGAACCTGGGACCTTTCGCTTGCCGAGCGAATGCTCTTCCAACTGAGCTATCTAGACCCACGCTCAAAAATCCTTCTCGCTTGCCTACTTTATTTTACTGAATAAAGTAGGAATAGTATACTAGCAGCGCAGTATTTATTCTACTGGAGCGAATATTTCACTCCAAAACTTTGGACAATTATTATTAAATTTTTACACATCGATAATGATTTGATAAAATTTAGCCGGACTGATGTTTGATAATGAATTCACCTCAGATTCCGAGTAAGGAGAGCATCGAGACCCTATCTGCCCTCGAGATTGCCGAACAGATGACGTATCTGGACCACCATATATTCATCTCTATCGCCAGCGAGTAAGTAAGACGGATTGCCAAATTATATTGTTGCTGTTTGAATAGGAATACATAGGAACTTGCTTTCTTGCAGAGAGTTTCTCGGACAGGCGTGGATGAAAACGGATAAGGCGACTCGCGCGCCACATATTCTACTCATGACGAAGAGATTCAACGAAGTCTCGCAGCTAGTTGTTTCCGAGATTATTCGTCGCTCCAACATGTCGGCCAGAGTCGCAGCTATCGAGAAATGGGCCGCGGTCGCCGATATCAATAGGGTTCTGCACAATTATAACGGCGTGCTGCAGATATGCGCTGCGTTCACCAACAGCAGCGTGTACAGGCTGAAGAAAACTTGGGACAAGGTTTCTAAGACGGTACGCGCTTTAAAAACTTGTTCAAGACTCCTGAATAATTTATAAATCAATTCAATTTTGCATAATTTATTCGGCTTGGCAACGAATTTTTGTAAACAGCAAATGCTACAGCGAAAATCAATTTGTAAAACTGTTTAACGAGGGATTTTCTTTCGAGCACGAGACCGAGAACGATCCCTCGTTCCCGTAGTTTTTTAAATCAATCTCTTTAACAAATTGTTTGCGAGATACTTATCTTCGTTCTTGTACTTTTTGTTAAACAATGTGAGATAATATTATAATTTATATAAATCAATAATTTTCAGACAAAGCAAACGATAGAAAGACTTCAGCATATCGTTTCATCCGACGGGCGGTTTAGAAATTTGCGGGACGCCTTGCACCGATGCGATCCACCCTGTATCCCTTATTTAGGTCTTTACCTCACCGACCTCTCGTTTATCGAAGAGGGTACTCCAAACGTTACCGAGGGTCTTTTGAATTTCTCGAAAATGCGAATGGTAAGCGATCTTTCTTCACAAATGATTTATGATTTATATCTTCAATCTCTCCTCGCAAAATCTTTTAATCCGTTTGGTATAAAAATAAGAGAATTGCAGAACGATTTATGTATAATAATAAAACCATAGAGTCTACAATTTCATTATTTATTTCGTCACTTGCTATTCGCGTTAATGAACAAAGTTTTACAAAAAAAAATATTACGTGTCTTTTCAGATTTCTCATGTAATCCGCGAAATACGGCACTTCCAGCAAACTCCCTATAAGATTGAACTAGTCATTAAGGTAACCAACTATCTGCTGGACACCTCGCTTCTGGTGAACGAGAAGGATTTGTATCGCATGTCCTTGGACCTCGAGCCCAGGACATCCAGGTTGAGTAGTTCTACCTTGATCGACCTACCACCTTCGGTCAGCCACGTGGCTACAAAGTAAATTCGCTTCGTTCCGAAATTCTGTGAGGCTACTCAACTCTATCTTCATTTCAATGAACGAAAAAGGGAAGTCTAGACTCGAAGGGATGAACTATTCGTTGCGCTCGGCCGATTGACGACGATCGCGAACGCGACTCGTCGTGTCATCAGCCCCGTCCACTTCTGTCCACCTTCGCTTGTAACGTGACGTCCGTTTACTTCCGTTGTCATTTCGGTTTTATTTATTGCGACGTATCTGCGCAAGAGTTACATAAATAAGCTCAACAATGATCTCACCGTCGCACAGAATCGGCCTCGTGGGAGGAAATTTCTTTGATAGATATTACAATTGCAGAAAATTATAACCAAAATTGAATTTCAACGTAACTTTCCAGATTTACCGGAACTGCTACCGGTTGTCTCTTCTTATTATTTTTCCCTCTATTATTGCGACAGTTAATTTTTATTTCTACTTAAAAGAAACTTTAACAAATATCCCATCTCTATCCAAAGTTTGGAAAGAACTGACAAAGAAACTCGCAAATTGTAAGAAAAGCATTTACTAGTAACGTGTATAGATTACAGAAGATTAAATGCGTGACTGTATAAAGAAATCTGCTGAAGATAAGAATGCAAAATATTAATAATGAATGTAGGAAGACTTTCTTGTAATAACATGATTATGCTTCATCTCTTCGTGTTGTTGACAAAGTAATAATCTCACTCAGAAGTGTGGTCAGTTTGATCTGTCCGATAAATGATCCATATTTCACGGGATATCCGAATTTTCTACAAAATAAAGGCTGTTGTTAACACCGACGAGGTGATCGCGGTGACGGTAACAAAGAACTGTTATTGATTTTAGTTTAGCTAAGCTCAATCAAGCCAGTATTATTGCGCGAGGCGTATAAGCAGTTTAAACGAGTATACTTAAGAGAATCGATGAGAAGCGTGAAAGGCGATTGGAAATTACATTCTGACAATCAATAGCATAACGATATCGCTGTTCTTTCGTTCGTTCTAATTGTTGCTACGAATATCAAAGCAAAGAAACTCGCTTGTCAAACGGCCGAAGACCGGCTTCGATCTTGGACCATTAGTTTTTGAAAATGTACACGTCAGCATCGCAACGTCTCGTTTTCGTTAAGCGATTTGTTTTAACGTGTTCTTGAATTTTCGACTCCAGCAGCGTCCTGATTTGGATGTTTACGGTTGAAACGACAATTGTAAGTCCGAAACGTACAAAGCTATGCACAAGTTTTCTCCGTTTGCCAAGCGAGGTGTAAATCTTACACAAAAGGGTATACATATCAACTATATTTAACATAATTCCAGATCAGTGTCTCTCTCTTGCCCGCCTCTATATTTTTATTCAACATTTATACCAATAGCAAGACAGGACCAGATAGTTTGGAACTGGAATTCCGTTCACACACACACACACACATACACACATGCATTACAAAGAAAAAAAGAGGCGGGATCTAAAGTGAAAAATTTATATACATATATTATATATATACACGCATCTATTTTTAGCTTTACGTTTATTAAGAGATTTTCGGATGCGCTTCTGCATCTATAAAAAATTTAACGTTCCCGCCATGCAAAGTACGATCTTTTTGAGCTCAAGCATGGAAACCGTGGCGTGCAAACCGCGCGTTTCTAATTAAATACGCGAGAAGGAAGGTTCTTTTTTCCTCGAGGTACCGCCTTTCGAAATAGCGATGAGCGAAACGCCAAGAGATGCGCCACTCGCGTTTGTATCCCTTAAAATTAAACAGTGTAAAGTCGTGCCGCGCGAATCGACATTAGAGCATCGCGAGTTTATTCCGATCAATCAGGGTTTACTCATAAACGCATTCCGAAGAGAGCACAATACGGCGGTTGTCGAAACGGTAAAAACTTGATATTCGTATTCTCCTTTCGCAAAACCTGCGCTCCTCGAAGGCGACATGTGACCAATTATTTAATTGTAAATACTGAGCTCGTTACTCTTGTGGAATTGTAGCTAAAATCGTCAAAAGTCGATTCGACTATAATCTCCGGGTGATCCGCAGATCACGTACGAGTATCTTACGTCTTCGAAGGAAAAGTATCGTTTATTGTTTGCACGCTGTCCTGACCTTTCGACGAGCGATACTATTGTATCGTCCGTAGGAGAATGATAGAACGTAAAAAAGGGATTACTTCTTGATTTGGGCGATTGATCGGTCCTTAAAACGTTTTGCGTTAAATTAAATCGAATAGCGCGACTGACTTTGCGTCAAGTTTCTCGAGATTTTTCCTCGTTATTAGATGTAGAGGATGGGTTAACCATATAAATTGCGGAATCCATTGGTGTTTTAATGGACACGTATAAGGGTCAGTAATGTTAAATATCCGTTATAGTCGTAAGAATTCCCAGTGAGAAATGATTCGTCGATCGACGTCGAAATGATGTCGAATCGACGTCAATTCGACGGTGTCGATGTCGATTCGACGTCGATCGACGAATCATTTCTCACTGGGTTATTTCAGAGTATTGTATAGATTCTTTTGACAACTACGAAGCGTCCAGTGAGGAAAGGAATACTCACCATTGAAAGTTCCAAGACAGTAGGAAGAAAAGAGAGGGGGAAAAATAGAATTCGCGAGCGATCTTTTGCGGATAATTTTATAATTATCTGGACGGAGCATATCACTGTCACAATCATTAATTATTAACGCTCAAGGTTTAAATATTCTTGTTCGCTGAAGCGGCTATAAATTTCAGAAGTTGCAAGTGACAGTTTTCGGCGGCTGATTTAATCGTGATTTAATCATGACATTGTGTTTAAAATGTTTTCACTTATAGAAATAACCAAATTTTAATGTTCTCTTATAATTTATACTTAGAAGATTCGTACTATTTGTATTATTTCGTAACTGTACGTTTCAAAACACGTTTCGTCGAATCGGTATGAATTTAGTCAAATTCACTTGAAAATACTTGACACTTCGAAACAATTACTCTTTCAGCATATGACTGGACGTGACTGCGTTTGAAATGTTGGAATTTAAACGATTTGTATTCCCACGCTTTCATGCCGACCGCATATCATTGTTCTCCCTGTGATTTTAATATCGACCCTTCCTCTTACTTTGTTATTTTTTCGTCGCGAATGATCTAAATCGAAACTGGGCAACGTCTCCTTTCATTAATGCACACCGGTTGAATTAAAAATAATGGACAAGAATTTTAAGCAATAATCAATACTTCGGTGAAATAAAAGAAACTCGTCGAAAAGTCGATAAATTCGTTGTGAACACTTGGTTTTAAACAGAATAAATTGGCGTCGCGAGAAGGTTCAATGACCATCCAAAGAAAACGTGAAACATAAATTATTTTACAGCATTTTAATCTTTTACTAGGGACTGCCGTGATATGCGAGAATTCCTTGGAATATTAAAAAGATGAACGAGTAAATGGACTCTCGAGATAAAAAGTTACAAAGGATTTAGGCTATGAGAGACAAATGTGGTTATTAGTGCGTGTCGATATGATATAATTATTAAAATAAAATTCTCGATCGCAAGTTTCGTATGCTTGGAATATTGATGGCCATTTCAAAAGGTTGCCCACTTGTTAACAAAGCCTTGTGCCAATTATGAGGGAAGCTCGCGCGACGAGTGAAAATCGATTGCATCGGCAACCCTTGTGAGATTAGCCCTAATTAGCAACGCCTCTATCTTAATCATGATTCAGCCTACCGCAGTGCTAAAGAGAAAGAATACTCAATTAATTGTACGTATAGAGCGGTAGTCCATGTCGAAGCGGTCGATCTCAAAATGTCTAAGACGACAAGTTTGTGTTATCAAGAGTTCTCAACGTGCATCTGTAGATCACGTCGTATAGCAGAGCTGTCTGGACATTCGCAAGCTAGGCGTTTCTCTCTCGTTCATCCCCGCGTGTTCTGTTACGTGACGTTGAAATTTAGACAGCTCTGTCATATAACATGGAAGAATATTTTCTAGAGTGTAGAAAAAATAGGATATTACGATCGGCTAGTGTCTTTACGAATCGCCATTCTGACACAATACCTGATCATCCTTCAGATATAATCTGATCGGTCATTGGGTAAGACACCGTTTATCGTTTCACTTCGCGAACGATGATATTTTATTTCAAGCGGAATGCTAGCCGTATAAGTGTCTAATAAGTATCTGTGTTGTGACGGGGAAATTTTTATGTGATGTTACACGCAGAAATTGTTTAGTTAGTTTAATTATTAAGTTTCATTGCTACTCTCTCTATAAAAATCGATCGGCGAATTGTCACTGAACACAGCGAATGGTCGTTGATTTACAGTCGTAAGTGCATCACTGCGATTTTCAGTGGTGCACTTGTAACCACAAATCAGCCGCTACTCACTGTTTTCAGTGATAATCCACCGATTGACTTTTAGAGAGTACCGTTCAATTAAGATTACTAATTGTTATTGTACAGAGGCACAAGAAATGTCTTTCCTACGTCGGTTTTTTCTGTCAAAGTGCCAATGAAGTTACTGTTCCGGGCACCTATTTACAATTCCGACCGAAAGCGCCAGCTTTCGATCAGCAAATTTTGCGATCGGCTTCCTGCCGTTGCGACGAGATAAATAATAGCGATCTTTCTTCGATTCGAGCGCGCTCCCGGGCGGAGCTGCCACGGTTTTTCAATTATTTTATCACGCGTATTTAGATAGCGTTCGAAAACACAGGAAACCTCCGATATTTTGCGAGCAGGAAAAAAGATTGGAAAAAGTCGAACTGCGTTTCCGTATTGATAAATATTGTTTGTCTCGTCGCGCAAGTAAATAGATATATAGCGAGCGGTGAGCCGATTGTGATCCTCGCTAGAAAATTCGCGGTTTCCAATTGAAACCGCGAGTAACGCTGGTGCCCCGTTTCGGCGATCAAGCTCCAAGTGTACCTTCAAACGTTCTAAATATCTTGTTCAGAGGAAAAGTTGCGAACTCGATTATTGGCGCACTTTCGCACGTACTATAACGTACTCGTGTTTACTCGCGGCACGCCGTTAATAATCTTACGTGAGCGCTATGTATAGACATCGATATGTGTCATACACATTTCCTTGTACATAACTCTAGTTACATATTGAACATGCATTGCGCTAGGCAGCCATTATCGTTGTTGATAGATTTCACTATACGAAGGACGATGATTATCGATTGACGCGATTACTATTAATGTCACGCCAAAATTGCATTATCGCGTACGTATAAGTAAGACGTGCCGTCTGATTGGATCCAACCCAAGACGGACGCGGTGGGGGTTTGAAGTTCTCCGCGTTCGCGCAGTCTGAAGAAAAAAAAAGAAAGAGAGATCGATCCAGCATAATCTTGCGCCATTTTATCACGTTAAGGAAGCAGCGTTGATATGCTCTTCTTATTGACAACTGTACCTTTTTAAGCTATCGATAACAATCGTACGACAGTGGCTTGGCGAATATAGCGTGTGGGAAAAGAGGCGAGGCACAATTTGGCGCTCACAATCGCCCAAGAATTTTCTAGGATCCGTTTGATTCTCGTGCAGGTGCAAATTCATTCGGGGTGTCGACATTTCATTGATCAATCGCTGGAGAAAGGTGAATTCTTTAAGACCAGCCTCGCGATTTATAATGCGAGCGACAGCTCCACTCGTTGAAAAATACGACATTGATAGAGTAAAGTTTTCTAATATGAGATAGTAGGTTTTCAACGTCGAAATTCAATGACAAATCCTTTTCTCGCAACGATCATACGAGCTAACAAAATCCATTTTCAACTAAACAGATTCACACCAAGGGCAATAAATTCATGGTGCAAACAGATAATGCCTATTAATAAAAATAAAGTTATTATTATTAAGTTAGCAGAAACTCCGCTATCTCATATTGGGAGCCTATTTTATAATAAGGGACTTTTCTCTACATGGACAAACGACATTAACAACTGAAGACACGGCTCAACGAGGCCGAGATTGGCAATAATTCGACCCTGGAATTAGCCTGCGCGAAAATTTCTAAGGGAAAAGCTGTCGAATGAAATTATTTCAAAATTACCAACTCGGTACCAATCGCAGATTTTTTGTAAAAATATAAACATTAATATACATATTAATCTGGACATAGTGTTAGTCGCGAGTAAGTATTAAAGTAATGCGCAGGAAGCACTCGTCACTATTCTAATGGCGGTTTAAAATCTCTCGATTTCTCTCTCCGTGACTGTAGTCGTCGTTGGAAACTATGATATAATTGCTACGGCTAGTTGCGGATGCTGTAAAGTACCGTCTTAACCAAAGTTACCTCATTTCTTATTGTCGACACGGCACTATAGAGAGAGTTATCTGTTCCCTTCTTCGATTCTAACTATCTTACGGCTACGACGTAGAATTAATCGATCCGACTCGTCAATCGTGACGGTATCTACAACGCTACAAAC